CAGGAAAGAAAAAAAAAAGAAAAAAAGAGAAACAGAGGGAGCAAGGCTCCTCAATCAATTTGAGGTTGGATTTCTTGAAGAACTCACTTTTGGATTTGAGTTTCTACCTTGACAAAGTGTAATGTTGATTAGATTTGATGAATATTGATTTAGATTTAGATTTGGACAAATTGTAGTTGAATTTAGGGGTTTTTAGTTCTTGAGCATATTAAAATGTTTGAAAAGTGATTTTAGCAAATTTCTATCAATTTATTTTGAAATTAAACTTAAAATGCAGGTTTTTAATAATTTTTCTATTGATTGTCAAACTGTTAGCGTATTACAAAAATGCTTTAAAAACTCATTTTTAAACCAAATTTCAATGGAAACCAAACTAATGGATTGTGTTCTAATTTTCAAAGAACTCCAAGTTAAATTATGAAGTTGTTTACAAACTTTAGATTTGAGTCAAGGCACACTAATAGAAAATAATAGTACATGATTGAACTAGATTCATTTTAGAGGTGAGAACCAAATTATAAAACATTTTTTTGATGACGAAGCTAGCGCCACAATCGGACCTAGAGCTTCAAGAATAGACAGTTGGACAACGTGAAGTTATCCATAGACTAAATTGACAAGAGGTAGGATGTTTTTGTCAACATCCTTGTTAGCCTATTTTAAATAATTTTGGCTTATAAAAACGTTTTAACGATAGAAAACATATTTGACATCATTGAGATTTAAAGAAGAGTTTTAAGCGATATTTTCTTAAAATGAGATATTTTAAGAAACAGTAACACACTAATGGCCTGAGAGATCGGGGTATGGAGATCATATCATTGGGGGCAGGTCCCGAAATCTCTACGGGCCACTACGGTGGTGATATCATGGCCTTGTGATAATTTAAGTGACTCATCATGAACCACTAACCGTAATACGGACTTTTGAGACTTACTTTTATTTCCTTTTATTAAAAAGGATGTTCGGTTTCGAATGACATGTTCAGACCGTATACTCTTTAAATTGTTTCAATTTTATGAAATTATATCCTATTGGGCATTTTGCTCACTTTTTCCTCTATTTTCAATGTTTTAAACCTCTCAAGAGTTAGCAGTTTAGATTTACAGCATGGCAAGTAGATGCTAATGGATTGAAGGCGCGAGATTCAAAGTGGTTCGTTTGTTCTGAATTTACAATTTTTAATTCTGAGATGTACAGTATTTCTGTATATAAACTGTATTAATCGACATTGTCCTAGATTTGTACTATTTTCCTTAGATTTTATGGATTGTTTAAAATATTGTTTGTAAAAGAAAGACTCCGGAGTAATATCTTTTGACATTTATGTATTTATTTTCGTAGTATTCGTTAATCAATCTAGTTTAATTAAGTTAATTTTTTTTAATTATATCCCAATAATCACGGTTTCATCTTTGGGGTCATGACATTACAAAATATACCACAATAACATCATTTAAGTTTTGTGTATTGAGCAAAATTATACTTATACTTTTGTGTATTTCATTCAATATCATTGGATTTTGTGACAGTTTTGTTGTTTTTTGTGTATATATTTGTAATTTTTATGGATTTTTTAATTTTTAACTATCTTTAACTGTTACATTCTCTGCAATAGTTTATTTTTATTGACATATGTCAATCTAAACTTAAAACTTATTGTGTTCTTGTAAAGTGCCCTTTCATCTTTCTCTTAAAACTCTTTACTCTCTCAACTTGTAAAAGTTTACCATGTATATCCTAACTATTTTATTATTAATATTTTTTATAGTTGTAAAAT